TTGGGGTTCCAGTCCGAAGTCAGCCATGCAGCTCACTGGGCTGCTTACTTGACTCTCAGCTTAATCCACCTCAAAGGGTTCAGTGTGAATAAAATGAGCAGGGGAGAACTGTAAGCTGCCTTGGGTACTTTGCAAGAGGATAAAAGATGGGATATAAATACTATAAGAAATAAAGAAAAATAGATGAGATTGAAATAGGCAGCTGTAGCAGAGTTGAACAAGTTCAACAGTAACCATTTTTTCTTAACCAAACAGCTGAAAAGTCTTTGGCATTTTAAGTGCAATCTTTATCTAGCTTTCATCTTGTCTGACTGTCTGTCTGCCTTATCTACCTACTCTATCTGTACATACCAGGCAGGACTTTGATACCTGTTACACTATGTTCTCTAGTTTTTCAGCAAAAGCTCTAGAATAGTACTGGACTGTACTTGAGAAATTCCATGGGGTTAACTGTTGTATTTATCCCTCATCCAAATATTGCCTGAACTATTTTGCTAAATTGTCTAAATCCTTCTGTAGTATCGATTTCTAGCTTTAAATGCTCTCACCCAAGCTCCAAGGACCCCTTGTCCTGCCTCAGTTCATGCCAAAACAAAGCTGGGATATGTTATTCCTGACAATAATCCTATAGCTGGAAACAGATTGTTACAAAAATTTAATAACATTGTGCAAAGAGAAATGTTGCATTTTTAAAAGACCTTAACAATAGTTTTTCTAATTCCTCAATAATAAGACATAGATCCCTCCCATCTTTTGCAGTGTCTTTGAAAATGGCTGGTGTTTCATTTACTGAACACTTAACAGCAGCTACAGTGAATTTATTAAAAGGAGAGTAGAGCAATCATAATCCCAAGCCTGCAGAACCATTAAAAGTAATGAAAAGACACAAGCAGATATGTGAAAAGTAAATTAACCATTCAGTCAGTATGGTCCAGAGGTTCCAAGCTTAAATTGTCCTGGGAATCTACCGGAGAGGTTCTACAGCTGAATGTTCAAATGGGCAATCTTTTCTACCATTCTGTTTTCAGATTCTAAAAGAACTGTTCTTTCATTGAAAAAAACCCCAATGATATGGAGGGTGACATTTCAAGTACAGATTAGAAATTACATGTCTGAGCCTGATAATACTTAATGCAAGTAAAGTTATTTACATGCATCAGTCTTTGCCAAATTGAAACCAAACCTCAACATGGTCTTTTCATTTCGTGTCCAGAAAGAAAGTGTGTGTAGAGCCTCTTTTCATTGTCTCCCAACTGATTTAAAACAAGACAATCAGAGAATTGTCTGCTTGAAGAAACACACTTCTTATTATGGCACAGTATCGCTGCTCCTTAGGCTAGCTTAGTCACTTATTTCCTTCTATTATAATGCCAAATGTTATTTAGATTTCAGTCATTTAGTAATGGTACAGTGAACACATCAAAGCTTCTGAAAAATTCCATACCTACTAGTCTTTTCATTTTCATAATATTATGTTGATATCCTTTCCTCCTAAAATTACACACTCCACTATTTTTTAACATAGTCTCTTAACACAGTTAAAGAGATAATAATACAATGAACAGCAATCTTCAAAAACATTTTTGTGCTATTAAGGTACAGAAATCTAGTTAAGACTCTTCTAGCTTTTAGGAAATGTAAGGAAATATGAGTTGCAAAGGCTGAAGCTAACTTTTCAGCAACCTCTCTGACAGCTCTCATCCATATTGCTGAGGTTATTTATTAACAGTAGCACCTACTCTGCTTTACATCAAACTATCAAGCCAGTGTAGATATTAGTATTGGCTTGAGTTAAAAGAGAGCTTTTACAAAGGATTTACATAACAAAGAGGGTATACTATTTAAGGAAAGTATTCAGAGAGAAGACTCACATGATTACAAGAAAATGGAGAATGGGATGCAAGTCAATTATAAAGAGCACATAGTTTGGCTTTACGAAACTACTATTAGGAAAGAATGACAGACCTTGTTTGTTAGGGAAGAACCAAGGTAGAGAATAATTAATGTGTGGTGGGCAACTATGGATTGTCCAAAAATGGGAGAGAAATTTGAATAAAATGTGCATGTACTACTTTATTTGTTTAGATGCACATTTTGAAGTTATAGCTATAATTGAAATATTTATTTATTTAAAGTTTTTATATGCCGTCCCTTTGCTATATAGCCTCGGGTCGGCTCACAGAAATAAATATATATCATACCATACAGTTAAAAACCCAGAAACACCCTGGCTGCACAATAAAAACACAGTGGATTTCACCAAAGTATAAAAGGCTTTGACCAGGTGACTGCTCTGTTCAGTCCACTGTCCAGGTGCTGTTTATGATAAATTGTTCTTATAATTCATTCCTAAGCTATCGTTAGACAGGACAGCCCTCAAACAGAGGACTTCTTTTGTAAAAGAGAATAATGGCCACCTCAGTACCAAGTATTTTCAGTTAGTGAATGTTGGAAAGGTAAACCTCCATGGATGGCCTGAGTATAAAAGACACTTCTTACTAATATGTAACCAGTGAGAATTTTAGGGACAGTCCATGACATGGTGGCTTTATGTAAACATGAAGCTTTGATGTACAATTAAAAAGACACTTAGGCTACATTTCCAAGTACATGTCAAGGGAGATCTGCTCCATAGAAACTAATGGCATTTTCTTGCTTCCAACCTACCATCATAA